CCCCCCCCATTTTGTGTGTCCTTTGAAATAAGCCCGATGTTCATATAGTCCTATTCGCTGGTGACACTGTTGCGTCCTTTCACCATTCTAAACGTTTTTACTGGAAGTGACGTTCTTACGGCTCTTCCATCACTATGCCAAACGCTCCTTCTTCTCTTTTGAGTTCCTCTGCGTCTTCTGTTTCCGCTACGCTAGCGAGAGAGCGGCTGACTTTTCTCCGCTGGCTCTCTTGCAGCTCCTTCTGGAATAACTAAGGCAGGTCACGTAGAGTCTGGATTTTCGAGGCTTTTTGGCAAGCCTTGCTAACTTTCTCTTTAAATAACGTGCTGCATAAACATGCAATTACTTCTCCAGGCAGATTATTTTCTGATGTGTGTTTAACATGGTGAATTAAAGGGGAAGAAAAGTGACGGCACGACTAGTTATTTTCTCCTGAATGGGGGTTGATTTTTTGCTGAGAAGTCTCCAGTGTTTTTTTCTTTTTCCTATGAATGGAATCATCCTTCATTTTCTTTGTAACCTGCCAACTGCCCACAAGGTGGTTTATTGCGTCTCGGACCGGTGTGTTCTCTCTTATTGGTAGACAAAGGCCGTGTGAGCAGGGGGTTCGGTTGCTGGTGTTTTTTGCACTGTGTGAAATTCCTCAAGCCTAGCTGCTGCAGTATATGCAACAGAGCTCTCAGTGTTTGCACTGAGCAAAGAATGCAGCGGGAATCTGTCCCAGCTGTTCTGTAATGAGCCGGCCTGCTTTTGGCAGCTGCTGTGTGTGGTAGCAAGAGAGGTCGGGGAGGCAAGTTTCTAAGACTGGGACCTGGACGTAGGGCCGAGAAGGGACTCGGCCTACTTGGGGAGCTCCTCTGTAGCAGGGGTAGGTAATTTGGCACTCCAGCTGTGGTGAAACTACAAGTCCCATAAGCGGGGCTGTTCAGAGCAGACATGTTTATGCAACAGCCAATGAAAAGCCAAGCTCCAGGAAGTGCCTTCTCAGCCCTATGTCCAGGTTCCGGTCTCACAATCTCGACTCCCCGACCTACCCCTGGTCTATAGGATAATATGAAGAGGAGCTACCTGACCCTGCCAGAGTTGCATTTATGGATACAGTAAGACAGATGTGACAGTCCACCCTGTAACTCATAGTGATGACCATTTTGCAGGCCTAGGATTTATGGTGGAACAGCCTGAAAACCAAAATTCCGGGACCACTTGCTGAAAAACAAAATGAACTGAGTGAAGTGCCCCTTCAAAATCTTCAGGGTCGCATTTGCTTAGGCAATCATTCTCATATTTAGAATCCACCATGAGCAGAGAGGTCTTTTTAAAATGGGAGCTCTAGAAAACCTTGCCTGTTCCGTACTGTTCACTCCACCACCAGAGGTATCTGAATTGGCCTTCTTCTTACCCTTTCCATTGGACTATTGGATGGTTGAAAGCTGAAGTCTAGCCTGGGAAGCCCAAATTAATATTGAATTCAGGAGCCAGTCTGCACAATCCAGGAGCAAGCACGATTTTAAGGAGCTGTACATTTTAAGGAGCATTGGCTATCTGGCTCCTAGGATTTTGGCTTCTTACTATTGCGTAGGAAGGTTCTCCAGGTGCTCACACTGCCTGATACTGTGGACATTAACCATTGGGTCCATCATTGAGGTCCTCACAAGGTCCTGGTTCCTTCCACTGATCTTCACGTCACCAATGTATGCTCTAATATAGAGGCCACCAAGATGACCCATTGAGCACTTTGGTAGTGTAGACCTGCTGGGTCCCCCAAAGTGTCAGTTTTCGATGGATTTCGGGGCAGTGCCAGAAGAAGGTCCTATAG